CGCCTTTAGCATTTCTTTCAGATGTATTCTATTGGAGTCAGAATAATTATCCAATATTAAATGTGCTAACAGATCATTTAGTTAAGTTTACAAATTATCCTGTTGAGAATATACATAGCAGAATATGATGACAAACCTCACCTTGTGATACCCCGGAACAGCTTTCTAAAATAGCCAAGATCGTTAATAACAGAAAGACAATTAATGCATTCGAAGATGTATTTATCGTTCAACAAAAGTCTATGTATGTAGATAAAGATCATTTGGCTTTATTAACGAAGAAGGCGGAAGTATTTCTTCTTGAAATCTTCAGTAATATTTATCAAAAGCTCGGTCGAAGTTCCATCGTTAAGGGACAGGACGAAACAATTACTTACAAGTTAGCATCGTTGAACATTACTATAGACAAAAAGCAAATACCACTAGGATTCAGCAGTGAGCATTTGCCAACATATAACAAGTGCGATCATTGTCATAAGCTATTATATGATGAGACAGGTAAAAGCTTTATGGTTATCATATATGGTCATGGATACCATGAGAGCTGTTTTAGTATTTTATTAAAGGAAAAATGTCATTATTGCGAAAATTTTCTTAAACTAGGTGTACGAAATAATGTTTCTTCTCTTCTTACACGATTAAGTAAAGTAGATAAAAATAAATCAAATCTAAAGAAACTTATTGATGCCAATGAAGAAAGTCCACAAAATCAGAAGATATTAAATGAAGATAATATATTGGAGGTGCTTTGAAAGGATAAGCATATATTACCGAAGGCAGAGCAAGCTTATTCTATAATTCTTGAAAAATTTTTGAATGCTAATATTACAAATATTTAGTATTAATAATTTTCTTCAATATAATTTAATTAAATGTATTATTATTCGACAAGAAAAAAAAAAAATCTTTTAATATTTTTAATGATACTAGTTAAATTTTATTTTATTTTTTGCAAATAATTAATAATAAAAATTTTTGATTCAATATACATAATAATGAATTTATGTAATCCTAATCTAAATTACATAATTACTAGATAATTATACGTAAATAAAAAAAAATTGCTTGTAATTAATCGTTCATCGCCATAAAAATAACACAATTAATTCTAATTCATAAGTAATCGCTCATCTTTATATAGTGTGTGTGACTGCATATTCTTTCATATTATTTGAGTTATTTGTATACTATCTAACCACCTTGACAAAAATTTGTCGCCATTCTTTTGAATATTATCTATCTACTCAACTACATTTTCATGTTTTGTAGTTCTAAATTGAAATTCTTTAATACAATTGTTAATATTCTTGTCTCTGCTTGTCTATTCTTGTATTATTTTCTGAGTTACACATTTAACACCAAACTTCAGAGTATTATATCAGATAAAATTTGCATATTTTCCATAATCATAATTTCTTTTAGAGCCAATTTATCAAATACTAACATATACACGTTTGTGGTATCTTGCGCTAATCCATAAATTTCTGAAATCATTATTTTTTAATTGTATATGTTGTAAGTGAGAATAGAACCATAATAGGGTCCAGAATCTACTTAGATTAGAGAAAAATAATTATGCTAAAAATCCCAACCCTAACCTTAAAAATTCCGAATCAACTTAAATCCTATTCCCACCTATGATATGTATAATCTGTAAACTTATTAAACATATAAATATAAATTATAACGAAGTATAATTTAAATATTTTAACTTGCCTCTTAATATCTAATCGTCTGTACATATAGTAAAAGAAATAGCTAGCGTAATTGTCTGGTAAAAGTAGCATTTGTGGATCGCAAATTTGAATCAGTGAGTGAATTGAAAATATGTAAATTTAAGTAAATACATGAAGCAAAAGCTAAAGAATATAACTGATAATATAACGTACCCGTAACGTCGATATTATAAAAATCTCGCAATTTAATTGGGCAGATCGGCACTGAGTCACAAATTTCAAATCTGGAAGGTTTGTGTAACCTAGATTGTCCACCATGCTGTATTAAGGCACTTGCCTGATAACGGATTTATCCGGTGGCTTACTATAATTTTATTATAAATCTGTCCGGATAAAAAAGTTTTTATACTGTATGCCAATTAAATTATTTGTGTCATCTCTGATTACCGATTATAGTTAGTAATATTCTTCATAGGTAATATTTGGCTAATTAGTCAAAATATGAATTATCTGCGAGCTTTTGAAACTAAACCCGAATATGTATTTTAAGTCGAATCCAATTACACATGAATCCGAATTTTTGAAACCGGG